CTGGAGCCTGAAAAACGAGAAGGAGCCGCCTTGGCTCCGGCTCGCTCCGGATCCCTGCTCTTAAGCCGGCTATTAGAATTCCTATGGTATTTTGAAACGCAGCTTATCGCCAATTTTTACCAGGGTAAATATGTATGTTCTACATACCTATGTAAGTGTCCACATATTATGCTTTCTCTGTATATATAACCCCTCCCCCCATAACCAGGAAGGGGTTTGATAATGATGTAGAAACTTGAACCTACCAGAAATAGTTGAAATAATCACCGCAAACCGCGCTTCGATATCTCGATCAGATATCATGTTACAGTCAGATTTAGACATTGAAATACCTTCAGAAATGAGTGAAAATCGGGGACTTTGCCCCCCCCCCCTCATATCTAGAATTTTGTTTGTAATTTTTGAATGTGTAAGGGATCTTCTTTAGGACGAAAAATAAACTACTCACGGACCCCAAATTTGAGGGCCCAAAAACCTTTTAAAATCATGCTTTAGGAAATTATTTTTGGATATTCCTGGAGTAAAATTTACGTCAGGCAGAGTACAAGTCAAAAAGCCTCTTAAAAAACTAATATTTAAAAGATTTCTTCAACGACATTTTTTACTAAACATTTTTTAAAAGATTTTCTTAACACTTGTTTTGCTTGAATATTGCCTGCTATAACTTTTACGTATAAAAATTACCTAAAATAAAGGGCTTCTGAAAACATAATTTGAAAAGTTTTTTTACGAGTTACGTTTTGAAATTTATGAGTTTTTTTTTTAAAAAAAATTCAAGAGTATTTGGTACTGTAGCCATCGTAGAAGGATCCAATATAAAATAATTCACTGTAGGCTTACAGGGATCAAAGAAAAACACGTCTTTCATCTCTACTTGATAGCAACGGATTCAACTAACTTCGAATTATTTCTGGAAACTAAACTCTTTTTACTGTTCTCACAGGTATTCGCTGCGGAGCCACTGTTCCTGGTGGAATATATTCAGACCTAGAGAGAGCCAAAGTCTTGGAATCAGTTTTGTACCGTTACAACGATGTACAGTACAGATGGGTCGCCAATGACTCCTGGATCTATGAGACTTATTTTGATGGTAATTTATTCAAATCAGCTCATTTAGCTACAGAGCTTGGTTAGTCATTGACAAAATGTGTCCGGTTGTTGACTTTTACTCCCGTCTGAGACAGCCAAACTTTCTTCTTCTTCCACACTAATCCCGATTAAGAACAAACCTAATGATAGACATGCCACTGCGAAAAAACTGTGATTAAAAAAAAAAAGAAACCAGTAGCTAGTACACTCAAGATGGACTCTTGATTAATTTTATATAAACAATTATTAATTTTATACCATACATATATGATTATTCTAATTATCAACCATCAAGACTGGAATGGGAAATCTAGAACTGCATCAAAATCGTGAAGTGGAGTTAAACATAATTTAGTTAGTTAGTTAGTTAGTTAGTATATTTTAAGACATTCAGCGTCACAGGCTATTAACGTCTTTACAGAAAATTTTGAAAATGGGCTGTATGAGCCGTAGTTGCCATGGTAGATTTTTTGTTCCTGCATTGGAGTGTTGTGTTTGTTGCTTCCTTGCTTTTTGAAGGGGCTCCTCTTATTATGCCATGAAATTGAAAGAGGGCTGCAGTTGATCTTTTGATAGACGATTCCTCACTTTTTTGATGTATGGAATATATGGATGTTTTCGATGCGTGGCCTTTTCTAGCCAAATGGTGTAAAAACGTTGACATTTTATGGAAAAAATAATTACAATTTCATTGCATTAGATTCAACTGTATTCCAATATTTTCGTCCGTACACTTTAGCGAAGCAAGATTTGTAGACGAGACGATAAGTGAATCCTCAAACAGATGTAGGTTGCTACGGAGAGGATGTATTCTGGCCTATCTCTAAAACTGAAGGCGAAATGGCGCGGCGGTGTGTCCGTACCATTTTCGAGTCAATTTTGCCCCACCACATTTTCGATCAAAGAACGTCGCTGCAACAATGAACTCAATCTCTGGCAAATTATTCAACATCTTTCAATAATATATCAACATCCTCCCAGTTTTTATTTCAGTTTTTTTTGTAGATTCATTCTGCAATATTTTTCGTCCTTTGAACGCCGATGTTTGAGTATTTTTAAAACTTGCGGCAGGTTTAGCCCCAAAGCAGTCAATTGTCAATTAATTCGAACTATTGTTTTATTTTCGATTTCCAGTCTCCCGGACACTTTTGGGATCGAAGCAGAAGTTCCTGGTGTTCCACGGCCTACACACAGTCGCTAAAATATACTTGAACAAAGTCCTGATCGGGTCCACTGACAATATGTTTGTTCGGTACCGTATCGATGTAAAAGATCAGCTGAAGGTGCGTTCTAGATTCGTTATTACAATGTGAAGTATAATGAATAAGATTGGATTCTCGCAGCGCTGGATTTCGGGTGATGGACCCCGGGGCAAACCTGTGGTGCCCCCTTCTCAAGCATAAGCTAAATCATTTTCCAGCGGAGCCTGGCCCCCATTGAAAAATGGTACCCAACTCTGACTCTACTCATTGAGAAGTGGAGGAGCACGAAATAACCCCAGCCCCCTCCCCTGCATGGAGAGGGTCCGGGACCTACCCCAGACATTTTTGGAAATCGACTAAATTTGAGATACATTTAAAAGCCACCGCGCCGTAAATTGTGCGGATTTTGTCCGTCTAGGAAACGGATTTAAACCGAAGTTCTTCCATGAACTCGAAAAGTAAATGCGAGAAAAATTATTATTAGGACAACCGTGTTGCAGTTCATATTGTAATACCTTAAAAAATATATATCTATATATTTTGGTTGGGGCCAATTTACAAAAATACCAATGGCTCGAAGTGTCCATATCGCAGACCTATCCATAACTCAAAATCTCGATAGGCTGGAGACTTCGATAGCTCAGTTTTTTTCGTTCATTCCTTTAACATTCAGTCATCGAGGCTCGACTGTTAATCCCCTCTCGGAAACTGATTTTGAATTCTTCGAAATATTTTTTCAGGAAAACAACAAGCTGGAAATATTCTTCGAATCTCCAATTAAGGCTGCAAAGGCGGCCCATATGAAGTCGAAGTACCCTATAAAGCCGACGTGCCCGCCTCCGACGTACAACGGAGAGTGTCACGCAAACATGTTGCGCATGAAGCAAGACTCATTCGGCTGGGACTGGGGCCCAGCCATACCTTCCCTTGGAATATGGAAGAGCATCGACCTGGAACTTCACAATTCAGCAGTCATAAGGGAGGTCACGACGCATCTTGATAGAGAAAAATCGAGGAATTTTTGGTCTCTGAAAGTTCAGATCTTTTTGGAGTCGAGTCTAAAAGTCACTGGGCAATTATCTGCTGTATTATACACCAAGAGCAAGAGCATCAATAAGACCGTTAACTGGGAGAATGAAGGATACGCAAATACGACCATTGAATTGGAAGTACCATACGTGAGTAGTTCTTAACTCTTAGCATTGCTGATCGTTTTCTGGTCAATATCCAAAAAAGGGAAAATAATTATCTAAATTGTATAAAAAGCTGAATCCTGTGATTCTATCCGAACAATTTGATCAAGCCAATCAAACTAATATGAATGGGTGAGGTCAAAAAATGGGTACTTCTATTGCACCGTTCAAACATTTCCGATTATACACTTTATTTTCTGGAAGGGAAACTAAGTAATCAAAATTGGAACAAAAAATTGGAAAGCACATTTTTTGTGAAAGCCCTGTCAACATT